GTCGACCTATCTAGACAGTCTCTTCTCGGGTTAACAGGTTTTACCGTGATGGCTTAACGAGCTTCACAAGTTTTCACATGTTTCGCCAGAATGAGACTTGTGAACCAGAACTAGGGAAGCAATGACAGTAAAGATGCCCCCCGTGCGCCTGCCTTATGTTATACATGTTTTTGTCTACATCTTTGACAGGATCCTTATTGAGAATGGCGCTCGTGAGCTGTTTAGTTTTGTTATCACCGCAGAAAGTGTACCGCTCCGTGTCGCAATTTTCCTCATAAGGCCTCGAATAAGTTAGTAGGCGCTTAGGGTTTGGTAGAGAACGAAATATATGCTAACTCGCAGAGTAATTCCTTGCTGTTCACTTTTAATGCGGTCGATTCGTGGAGATACTGGATTAGCATGAGATTTCATCTGATATGGAACGTGGTCTCCAGCCTTCGAGAACCTACAGTTGATATCGTGGTAGTCAGTTGGGACGGTATCAGGACGCAAAAATTGAGCCCATCCGCGTCGTTTTTGCTGGCGAGTGCCTTCTCGAGATACATGACGCCTCCATCAGTTTACCTCTGAAACAACTCATTTCACAAGCCAACAAAGATAATGAGTGAGGGGAATTATAGAAGTGCTCTAAGGATGAAAGTTGAACTATTTAGACTATAGTGGCCGTGCCAGCTACAGTGATTATGGATTCGCACTGGAATGGTCTGGCCAGTGTCAACGAATACAATGACAATATGAAGTTTGGTAGACGTGTGAAGCAGCTCACCAATGATATCGACGTCGCCCACGTAGGTCGATCTCTTGCTTTGAGACTTATTCTGACGATTAACTCTCTAGAGTTCACTTCGTGGTCCGTCACATTCTCACCTTTTGGGTTATTTATTCTCGTTCAAACCAGCTATATTAGAAGCAGCACTGAAGAGTGTAGCTCAGTGACATGATCATTAATATTAAGTTGCCTGGAAAGCGTTGAGAAAATTTCACACTTTTAGTTCGAAAAAGTGTACCAAGCGAATGCCCCAACACAGCATTGTGGGTGGTGTTATTCTTCCTTGTTGGTGTGAGTTGGCATTACCTGAAAAATGTACTAGTGCCCACGACTCCCAACGCTTCTACCTTCATCTTCACCGTTCTGGCTGCTCTGTCGGTCAAATCGGGAATGAGGAACCGTCACCGATGCTGGATAAAACGCGCTTCAAAACTATCTGCAATAGGAAT